CAGCTTCCCAGGGTGGGGCCTGCGCACAGGCCGTCCCCACTGCCGGTTCATGAGCAACCCCCACGCATCCTTGGCCCCAGCTGCAAGCCCCCTCCGAGCTCCAGCCCCTCCATCCCGTCCAGCCCTGACTCTGGGCTCAGCCCTGACCCCTGACCCTCCATCACAGCCTTCCCGGACCAGCTGACCATCTCCCCGGCAGCCCTGGTGCCTGGTGACCCGGAGGTGGCCTGTACGGCCCACAAGGTCACGCCTGTGGACCCCAATGCGCTCTCCTTCTCCCTGCTCCTGGGGGACCAGGAACTGGAGGGGGCCCAGGCTCTGGGCCCGGAGGTGGAGGAGGAGGAGGAGGAGCCCCAGGAGGAGGAGGAGGACGTGCTGTTCAGGGTGACAGAGCGCTGGCGGCTGCCGACCCTGGCAACCCCTGTCCTGCCCGCGCTCTACTGCCAGGCCACGATGAGGCTGCCTGGCTTGGAGCTCAGCCACCGCCAGGCCATCCCGGGTGAGTCCGCTGGGTCCCCTGGAGACCCAACCGCTCGCCAGCCTTGACAGGCACTTCGGGACGGGGGGACGGGGGGCAGCACCTGTGCTGTGGGGCGCTGGGAGGATTGGATTCCCCCACGCGGCCAAAGCGACATTCATTAACTCAACGTGTATTTACTGAGCACCCGGCCCCCAGCACAGGTCCCACCCCTTCCCTGCCCACAGCGCTCCCGGCTCCTGCCTTGGGGTCAAAGCCCGACTCCTCCCCGGGGCCCACAGGAACCTGCACCACCTGCCCTGTCCCCTTCCTGCCCTCCCTCCACCCTCTCTCCCCCTCCTCATTCTGCTCCAGCCACACGGGCCTCCTCGCTGTTCCTCCAACACGCCAGGCATGATCATGTCCTGGGGCCTTTGCACGGCTGTGCCCTCTGCCTGGAATACCCTTCTTCCGGATCTTTCCACGGCTCTCTCCTCCTCCCCCTCAGGTCTCTGCCTGAGTGTTGCCTCCTCCGGGAGGCTTCCCTGGATTCCCGTTTAAAGGGTCAACCCTCGACCCCCAACGTGTACAAACGCAGGCACAGACGCACACACGTGTACAAACACAGGCGCACGCGCACATGCGTGTACAAACACAGGCACACCCACGTGCACAAACACAGGCACACATGCACACGCGTGTATAAACACGCACACCCGTGTGAGCCCCCTTTCCCTTCTGTTCTGTTTCTTGACACCTTGGATAATATCTGATATCCCCCAATCACGTACCTTCTGTCTTTTCCACGACCTTCTCCCACTGTGGCTCCCAAGGTGGGAATCTTGTGTCTTGCGCACACGGCTGTGTCCAAAGAAGCTAGAACAGGGCAGGTGCTCAATAAACCCTCGCTGAATGCTCGGATGAAGACATTTAACGTGGGCCGGTGCCCAGGGAGTACCGGCTTCATGCCCTATGCAGTCCCGAAGCCGCTGCCGGCTTCTCCCACTAAACAGAGAGGGATCTGTCCTCCCACAGGCACCTTGATATCCATGGTAATGCGTGTCTCCCCATCAGTCCCACAGGGGATGGAGCACAAAGCCAGAGCAGAAAGCCCCCCAGCACCTCCTCTCTCCACGCCAGCCTCCTCCCAACTCTCCTCCGTCCACAGCCCATCAAAATAAACGCGGGACCCTACTCACTATCACGGCAGCCCAAAGAGGTGACTCTCACCCCTTTGACAGTTGAGGAAACTGAGGCACGTGGAGATTAAGGAGCCTGCTGGGGTGATGTTGCCAGTGAGTGGGGGCCCTGGAATGCCCGGACTCCCATCCTGCCCACTGTGGTGCCTCAGTTTCCCCATCTGTCCAGTAGACTTCCCTGACTATGGGTCCTTTGTAAATTTCAGGGACCATGTAGCTTTCAAAGCACTTTATAAATTCTACGTTTTAGGCGGGGTTCACGCCTCTAATCCCAGCACTTTGGGAGGCTGAGGTGGGTGGATCACCTGAGGTCAGGAGTTCAAGACCAGCCTGACCAACACAGTGAAACCCCATCTCTACTAAAAATACAAAAATTAGCCAGGTGTGGGGGTGCACGCCTGTAGTCCCAGCTACCCAGGAGAGAGAATCTCTTGAACCCGGGAGTTGGAGCTTGCAGTGAGCCAAGATGGCGCCATTGCACTCCAGCCTGGGCAACAGAGCGAGACTCTGTTTCAACAACAACAACAACAAATTCTAGGCTTTATCAACTAGAATAGCATGCCGAATAGAAACAAAAATGTGGGCTGGGTGTGGGAGGCTGAGGTGGGAGGATCACTTGAGCGCAGGAGTTCCAGACGAGCCTGGGCCACATAGCGAGACCTCCCATCTCTACCAAAAAATTTGAAAATTAGCTGGGCATGATTGCACGCCTGTGGTCCCAGCTACTCAGGAGGCTAAGTGGGGAGGATGGTTTGAGCCTGGGAGGTTGAGGCTGCAGTGTGCCATGATGCCGGCTTCTCCCACTAAACAGAGAGGGATCTGTCCTCCCACAGGCACCTTGATATCCATGGTAATGCGTGTCTCCCCATCAGTCCCACAGGGGATGGAGCACAAAGCCAGAGCAGAAAGCCCCCCAGCACCTCCTCTCTCCACGCCAGCCTCCTCCCAACTCTCCTCCGTCCACAGCCCATCAAAATAAACGCGGGACCCTACTCACTATCACGGCAGCCCAAAGAGGTGACTCTCACCCCTTTGACAGTTGAGGAAACTGAGGCACGTGGAGATTAAGGAGCCTGCTGGGGTGATGTTGCCAGTGAGTGGGGGCCCTGGAATGCCCGGACTCCCATCCTGCCCACTGTGGTGCCTCAGTTTCCCCATCTGTCCAGTAGACTTCCCTGACTATGGGTCCTTTGTAAATTTCAGGGACCATGTAGCTTTCAAAGCACTTTATAAATTCTACGTTTTAGGCCGGGTTCACGCCTCTAATCCCAGCACTTTGGGAGGCTGAGGCGGGTGGATCACCTGAGGTCAGGAGTTCAAGGCCAGCCTGACCAACATGGAGAAACCCCGTCTCTACTGAAAATACAAAATTAGCCGGGTGTGGTGGCGGGTGCCTGTAGTCCCAGTTACTTGGAAGGCTGAGGCAGGAGAATCACTTGAACCTGGGAGGCAGAGGTTGCAGTGAGCCGAGATCGCGCCATTGCACTCCAGTCTGGGCAATGAGAGCGAAATTCTGCCTCAAAAAAAAAAAGAAGAAGAAGAAGAAGAAATGGAAATGGGACCCACCAGAGGGGTCGAGGAAAGGGGTTTGGGGAAGTTCTGGTCCAAGCCCTTGTCCAGATGCAGAGACTGAGGTAGGAGAGGCAGGGCTGGGGCAGCAGAGAGAAAAGCAACGGTCACTCTGTTTCCAGTCCTGCACGGCCCAACCTCCCGGGAGCCCCCCGACACGACCTCCCCGGAACCCCGGGC